AGCTAAAAATAATCATTATAAAAAATTAAGAAGTCAAATTTGGAAAAGTGAGGAGTAAAAACAAAGGAAATGAATAATAATCATTCATCTTGTATTGAAAAAGAGGCATTGAAGAGAAAAAATAATAATAATAATAATAATAATTACTTTATTTTATACTAAGTGGAAAAGGTTAAAATATGAATTCTTATTATAATGATTTCCCTCAACTCTCTTATCCTTTTCATATTTGATCTTCTATGTAGAAGTATTAAGAAAGCACTGATTATATCTGTAACAAATAAATAAATAAATAAATAAATAAGAGAGGGGCTCGTCGCAGGATGAAAAATGAATGGATATATATATATATATGATTGGATGCTAATAATATCTCAACAGTTTAAACTTTTCGTTGGGTACTCGATCTATTATAATAAATTATCTACCCTTTTTCACTTATTATTATTACTATTTTGGACTAAATGTTCTCACACCCCAAGTTCAGTTTATTGCTCATATATTAAACCTCAACTAATTTGACTCTCACACCCCTTTCTAAAGTATGAAAAAAGTGAGTTTACTATTATACCCTTGTTTTATTTAACATATATCTAAGCAAGCTATGAAATGACAATATTACCACCATGTTCTGAAACTTCACCGTTCTGTTCCTTCAATTTTCCCAGCACTCTCTCTCTCTAGAATTCCACTGGTTTTCTCTCTTTAAAATGGCTCCCAAGGCCGATAAGAAGATAGCGGCGGAGAAGAAATTGCCAAAGGAGGTGACGTCCTAGGAGAATAAGAAGTGGTTCAAGGCCGCGAAGGAACTGCGGCGCTGCACCGGCGAGACAGAATCAGCCGGCAAGGAGGAACTGAATCGGCCGTGAGCTTGCTGCGGTGCTCGGAACGGTGAGGTCGGCTGACTTGCGGCGGCTCAGTGTTACTTGCAGAGAACAATAATGTTTTGGAGGTATAAATGAAGATACCCAACCTTCAAACTCTTCATTCTTTGCCATTAGTTTTATTCTAATTTGTGAATTTGGGATTATTTTGCAGGCTGTAAAGATCACAGGTGAAGAGTGTAAGAGCATGACAGAGAAACAGAGAAAGCCTTATGAAGAGGTTTACTTCATGCCCAACACATCTTTTTATTTGTTTATGCCCTGAGCAAGATCTTTTTGCTAATGGAACTAATTTTTTTTAAAAAGCAAGATGGGTTCTGGTGCCGGAAACTTCCTCAAGGTGTTGGCTAAAAACTTCGACGTTCTTGTTGGGTATATTTTTATTTTCCTTTTAGTTGTCTAATGTCCTTTTTGTTCCACTCTCTTACTTTACCAAATTCTAGAGAGAGTCATTGTTTATTTCATAGTGTTTCTCAGCTTAGATTTCTGTACTTGTAGTTGTTCACCTGTTCGTATGTGTGCGTGTGTATAGTTAACCCAAACTTGTAGATGGCAAAGAAAAACATGGAGAGATATATGGAAGAAATGGAGGTTTACAAGCAGTAGAAGGAAGAGGAAGCTGCGAATCTGAAAATGGAAGAAGATGAAATGATGAAAATTCAGAAGCACGAAGCCTTGTAATTGCTGAAGAAGAAAGAGAAAACAGAGAACATAATTAAGGGTCTTTCCTTGCATAGCCGTCCGATTACCACCGGCGTTCAGAGATTGCTTCCTTGCACACCCACCGTGGCAATCCTTGCCCACTGATCAGCTCAGAAATAAAACTGCAAGTGGCATTAACAGATTAAAACAAGTTGAGGGTAAAAAAGTCTAAGAATAAAAATGTATTTGAAATAAAGGAGGGTAATTTAGGTATTTTATTTTATAATTTTTAAAAGAGGGGTGCGTGAGCAAATCGAACCAAACCTCACGAGGGTGTATTAGCAAAATTGGCTGAGGTTTTATATGAGGTTTTATATGAGAGCAATACATTGAAACCTCATGAGGTGTGAGAGCATTTAGCCCTATTATTTTTTATTTTCCTCCAAATTTAAGTGTCCGATATTAAGATCGAGAGCCTCCAAACTTGAACAGCTATAGAACAACGACCAAGTAAGTGAGCAATTGACTATGGGTCCTCCCCACGCTTAATTTTGAATTTGAAGGGGATGTGGTGAATTTCATGCATTTTGAATAGGAAAAATTACGTATAGGTAGACTTGGTGGCCTTAAATAACAAAATAGTCTAATTTTAAAGTTCATTTTTCAATTTGATTAAATTAAACAAAATAATTACAAATACATCAACAATTATTGTTAAGATGTGAAAATATTGTCTTTTAAAATTCAAACCCACTTTTTTTTTTTTTTTTTTTTTCCTAGTTAATTCTAGCCCACTTTAAGTGACATTTATTTTTTAAAATTAATATAATATTCAAAAAAATTTGGATGTGTTCTTCGAGCATAAAATTTTTAGAACAAGAGTTGGTATTTTGGATCTTAACAATAATTGTTGATGTATTTGTAATTATTTTGTTTAATTTAATCAAATTGAAAAATGAACTTTAAAATTAGACTATTTTGTTCTTTAAGGCTATCGAGTCTACCTATACGTAATTTTTTCTATTCAAAATGCATGAAATTCACCACCTCCCCTTCAAATTCAAAATTAAGTGTGGGGAGGAGCCATAGTCAATTGCTCACTTACTTGATCGTTGTTCTATAGCTGTTCAAGTTTGGAGACTCTCGACCTTACCTTACGCATGGAGCAAGTTATGGTTGGCCACAATCAATGGCCTGCTTGGTGGAGATCCCAAGTAGTTGGATTTTGAAGGGTATTGCAGTGAGTTTGTGTTGGCAAATTTGGAAAGCTCGAAATGCCTGGGTTTTTGAGAAACAATGCTGGAAGGACATGGATATTGTTTTGAAAGTTGAATCTCATTTCTGGGAATTTTATTGTTAGAATATATTATAGAATATATTTTTACCATGTATTGTTAGAATATATTCTATAATATATTGTGTCCATATATATGTTTATCATATAAGGTTTAGGTTTACCATATAGGGATTTATGTAGGAGATTATATATGTGGAGAATAAGTAATCCTAAACCCTATATGGTAAACCTAAACCTTATATGATAAACCTATACATGATAACAATATATTATAGAATATATTCTAACAATACATAGTAACAATATATTTTATAATATATTCTAACAGCCCCTCAAAGTTAAGGTGGGTTATATGAAGCCATCTTGAGTTTGAAGACAATCATTTCACTCTGATGTAGTTGACATGACAACGATGCTAACGTGGTTGATGATATGGCAATTGAAGTGGTAGGTGACTTGGCACTACTGTTGGCACCTCCGCTGTGTGGTAACTGACGTGGTAAGTGACGTGGCATAACTACTGGCACCGTTGCAGAATATGTCTGACGTTACACCAATGCTGACATGTCAGGTGACATAGGGTGGAACTGTGAAGATCTTGGAAGTAGGTGTGGAACGTGAATAGGTTGATGTTTAAACTGATGGGTGATGAATTTACAAAGATTTACCACGTTGAAGGCGTATGTGAGCGCATGATGACCACTGATGGTGCGTAGTGGCGCGGTGACAGAGCTGATCCGACATGTTGAGGTGCGAGATTACCGCTGGTGCGTGCGAAAGCGCATGAAATAGTAGGATTACCACTTGAGGCGCATGGTGGCGTGATTTGGAGTGCGGAAGCGTGAGTTTGCAAGCATGATTTGCCGATTGACCATTGCCGCCGAGGATGGGAATCAATGGCCTGCTTGGTGGAGATCCCAAGTAGTTGGATTTTGAAGGGTATTGCAGCGAGTTTGTGTTAGCAAATTTGGAAAGCTCGAAATGCCTGGGTCTATGAGAAACAATGGTGGAAGGAGATGGATATTGTTTTAAAAGTTGAATCTCATTTCTGGGAATTTTATGAAGCCTCGTTAAATTTTTTCCCTAATTTAAACCAATCTTTCTTAGTTTCAAATCAGAATTGTAGTCAGACATGGAGATTGTCCCTAAGGGATTTTGTGAAGGTTAATGTGGATACGGCTTTTCATTTGAAAACCTAGGAAGCTGGAGGAGCGATAGTGGTCTGAAATGAATCTGGATGTGTTCTTCGAGCATAATTTTTTTTCTTCTCTCCAGTTAATGATCCATCTAAGGCTGAAGCTCTTTCATTGAGGCAAGCGATGAACTTTACGTTTTATTGGGAATTTGAGAAAGTTATCTTTGAGGTTTGTCAAAGCTGTGAATGGCATGTGGTGGACAAATAATTCGTGAATCCACAAATTTGATCCGATTCGTGCGGAACGGATTGGATTGCTACACTCACGGATCGGTGACAGATTCAAAAAAATTGAATTTTAAACTCACGGACCGGATCACCGATTGAACTATTAAAAATCCGATCATATTCGTGAAATTTATATATATATTCAAAGAATATGTTAGTTAATTTAATTACTTAGTAATAATTTAATAGACTCTAAGGATGTATTAGTTAATATTTATTTAAATATATGAATTAATATTAATAAACTAAAATTTTATCTATTGGGTTATGATTAAAAGATAAATAAATAATAAATAATAAATAATATTAATTATAAAAATAATAATAAATAATTTAGATAAAACTCAACTGTAAATCCAATCCGATCCGTTATTACACGGATCCGATCCGTGGGATAACAGATCAGTGGCGAATTAAAATTTGTCTAATCCGTTGGGAGCGAATTCGTGGCCACCCTTATGTGCACATATCCCACAATGTTATGTTCCATTATAGAGGATTTCAAACTTCTCAGTTGTATCCGTGCCCCGAGAAACTAATGGTATAGCTCATCATCTAGTAGGTTGGGCTTGTGTCACATAAAGGTGTTCAACCCAAAAGCTCACAGTAGCCCAAGCCTTGGGGAAAACAGCTTTCTGGGTTTGGTTGCACATAAATGTGTTTTTTGTTGGTCTTTCTCTGGCCTGGACTTTGCTATTTTGGGGTTGAGTTCGGTTCACTCGGCCCAACCCAGATCGGGGTCAACTCAGTGGGAAAACAGCAAAACCCTAATCCTAAAACCTAGGAATTCTCTTCTCTCCTCTTCTCATTCTTTCTTGAGAGTGTGAAGTTTGAGTTTTGTTATCGATGTCGGAAAGAATAGAAGATTACGATTCTGACGCTCCCGAGGAATTCACAGCCGAACAGGTGCGTTCATTTTTCGCAATCGATTACAATCAACCGAAACGTTGAAAAAAAAAATAACAAATTTGATTTGAAACAAAATCATGTGATTTTAGTTTTAATCTTGTTTGATTTGTTTCTGTATCGCAGGGAATACAACAAGACGAAGAGATACGAAAAGTTCAGAGAGAAAATAAAGTTAGGTATGCTCTTCTCTCTCTCACACACACAAAACACACGCAGAGACAAATTAGGTATTGGGTTCAATTTTAACCCTGTTCGGTTATTGAGAAAGTAGAGGGAAAGAAAATCAATTGGAGTTTGTGATAATATATTTTTGTTGGTTTGGTTCCAAAAAAGCGAAGTTAAGAAATTAGCTAGATGATCCTGGTAGGAGTAAGTTTTCACATGAACTTCAGCTGACTGTTATTAATGTCTTTAGAACAAAGCATATAAAAAAGTACAGCCTTGAACTTCTTGCATTCAATTTGTCTTTCTTTCTAGTAACCGAAGAGCCTTAGTTCGGAAAACAAAAATTGAGAGATTTTCGAAATTGACCCATCCTTCTCGAAAAGAGTAGCACAAAAACTCAAATTCGTATAGAAGGTCTTTAGCACTTGTCAAGGGTTCAGAATGGCAGTTTTCAGTGAAAAGTAAACACCACTTCATATCAGTTCATCTAACTTCAGAGCTAATTCAATTCTTTTTTCATATTTTTGATGAAATGGTTTAAAGCACCCTAAGGGCAGCATTTGATGCACATGCATTTCATGATGCTCATACATTTCTTACACGAGACAGTTTATTAGACTCTTTTAGTATAATACATGTCTCCCAAGGAATCAATAAAAGAATATAAGGTGTCTTGAAAACACCCATACATCCAAAACTGGAGTTTTCAAACTTTGATTTGTTGATACCGTAAATGACTAGCTATATCCTCAAATATGTCCATTCTACACTGCCATTATGCATCGCATGAAGCAAAATCATTCTGTGCCAAGCCTGAGTCCCTGACAGATTCTATCCTAATGCAACCACCCGCCCAACAACGAAGAAAATCCTCCATAGGCGGTTGCATAACCCATAGCAAGCCAAACAAGGAGAGCACAATGCCCTACAAACCAAAAGTCTCCACGCAATGGAAAAGGAGATGTTACTAGTTCTTCGTACTTGTTGCAAGTGCAACACTGGTTAGGAATCGCCATACCTCTCTTCCCCAGGTTGTCCATCGTTAAGCCATCATGACAGTTTTAATCTTTTTTACTTTTGCAGAGATATCATATTACAAAACCAAAGCTTGATTTCTTTTTGCATTCCAAAATGTGTTGAAAGGATTAGGAAAACAATGCTCTTCGGGTCTTCCTATTTGGATGTCACACACACATATTTTCGAAAGGTTATTTGGATGTCACATTGCCCGATGTGTAGTGATGATATTTGAGATTTATAGAATCAATGGAAATTTGAAAGTACACAACAGAATCTTACCTGCCATATTTGTTGGAGGAGTGGCTGGAAGACTTATACTTCTATTTCCCTTCAACCTATAATGAAGTGAATAAACCCAACCAAAGGAAATTTTGAGTCGTCCATGACTCCATGTAACATTACTCTGCAATAAAGTAAAGTATTTCTCGTTCTTAAATTAAGAGAATCAACCTAGGCTATGGATTCCTTTGTATCACAATAGTTCATCAGATTCATTTTATACATAAAACCCATAGCATGCTAATGTTGGCTTATGTTTGGAAGTGTTCTTGAAAGCCCACGCGATATTAAATGTTTAGATGATAGTTTATTGATAGATTTGTAATGTGGGATTCTTTAGATTGTTCTTCTGCAATTAATAACGTCAACGTTACTATATGCATGATTCTTGGCAACTATATTTTGATCTTTGTAGGGTTGTTCGTGAAGGAAAAGAACGTCGCAGACAATGGGCTCAAAAGATAACACCACGACCTTCACGAGGAAATGAAAGCATTAAAGCTGTGGTAGAAACTGGAACAAACCAGGAGTCTCTAGATACCGGGGGAATGCTACCAAATGACATTGTCGAACTGCTTGCAGCTCGTGAGAAGTATGTTATGACTCTCTCTCTCTCTCTCTCTCTCTCTGTGCATGCAGTTGTATTATGAACCTCCATCTCAAGCTAACATCCTAACGTAGGTTACTTAATCTGCAGACACGTTTTCTTATCAGACTCTGAGGAAGAGGATACAAAGAAAAAGCCTTCCTCAAAAAAGAAAAGGCCCAAAAACTCTGGGTAAGGGACATCTGGTTTTGCCATACTAGATGAATATTTTGTTTTGTATACACCTATAGAACAAAAATAAAATTTTGGCTTATTTATGATTTCACAGGCCAGAACCTGTTATCTTGAACGACATTCCACCTGCTCAATGCCTGCATAACTCGTTAGAGTTTTTGAAGAAAAGGAAAATGCGGGTTTCAAGATCATCTGCAGTTTTGAACAACTCCAACCAAGCACTACGCCTCATTTCTACATCTGGCTTGTTAGGCAACAAATGATGATGGGGTATGTTATATTAGATTTGTTGATCCGTGTTACATTGATGATGGTGTCGTACTTTTAGCTCCACCGTGCACATGATTGTGCATGATGAACATGACATTGATTTAATTGTTTAATGAATATATTACTGTTTTGAGTTGAACATGACATTGATTTAATTGTTTAATGAATATATCACTGTTTTGAGTTGGAAATTGCACGATTGCATTTTTACCATCTTCGGGGACAGTTATCTTATTGTAACATTGTCCATCTGTGGACTGGATTACATATTGACACTTGCACCAACTTATATAGCCAAATCTATAAGAAAACATTATGGTATATGATTATAAAACTAATATATACATTACCCCTTTGTTAATATATGTGTGTGTGTATATATATTCTATTTTATGTTGATAAAACTAATATATATATATATTCTATTTTATGTTGATAAAATCTTCACTTTATGATCCTAATGGATGCACTTCCAAACAAAAGATGAGATCCGAGGGAGTTGGAATGGTACATCTGGGACCCGATTAACTGCAAAGATTAGTTGTTATTTTGATGGAATATGTACTTCAGACGCTCTCAACCAACAATAACAACAAAAAAGGAAACCTTCTACCCCCACGGGTGTTAACTGACCAAGGAAAGGACATGCAAGTCTTAGATATCAATATCTTTATATATATATATATATATATATATATATATATTATCAGTTCAGTGAAAACATTTTAATTTCTTATTTCCATCTTGAATCTAGAAAAGAATTGGGAAATAAACAGAGGAAAAACATGTCGCCTCTTTACCAAAATAAGGGTCCTTTAATGAATTGATCAATTATTACTTTGCTTCACACAGCGCTACGCATGAAAGAAAAAGGTACAAATAGATAATAGTGCTCCCATTACCAGTTACTGAGTTTCTATAAATCAAACTGTTAAAACACCATGAAATCTGGTGATAGTCCGGCTAAAAAAACCATAAGTAATAGAGGTTAATTCCCCCCAAAACTCCTATTTCGGCTTTCTACGTTTATCTGTTTTGCTCTTATATATTTTAACAATTACGTATTATTTTGTCTCTTCTATTAGCATAAATAATTTTCTTTCTTTAATTTATTTTCCATATTATATCTTCTACTTATTTAAACATGATCGTGAACATTTTATTTAAACATGATCGTGAACATTTGGTTTAAATAACAATAAATAAATATGAAGATGGGTCTCTATTCCCTCTAATCTTTTTTTCCTTTTACAACCGTTGAAGGGACTCGTGTATTGAAACTGAATTTAAGACAGTAAAAAAAATACCATTTTAGTGGGGTTGCAACTGTATTTATGGTTTCAGCCTTGTCGCTACATTCACCTTCTTGGCCTCTGAGAAAGCCATTTCTTGCGTGCATGTGAACGTGAAGCATTATGATACTTGGTTTTTTTAGCTATATGATCTAATCAGGGTACTAAAATGGATAGATCGGGTACAGTCCAAATCCCAATTCACATAGTTTGTACGAAATTACTTGTATTTATAGTTATAGACACAGAAAAGTGGTACAGAAATGACGCGCAAGTTCCTGGTACGAAAAGAAAAGAAAAGAAATCGGGGCCGAATCATTGTATTCCATTGGAATCTTATATCCTTTTAGTAAGAATCAGAGACCTAGAAATTCATTCATTGTCATTTTTGTCAAGAAAACTTGACAAAAGCCACTTGTGAAGCATTATGACACTTGATTTTTTTAGTTATATGATCTAATCAGGGTACTAAAATGGATAGATCGTATACAGTCCAAATCCCAATTCACATAATTTGTATGAAATTACTTGTATATATAGTTATTGACACATAAAAGTGGAACAGAAATGACGCAAATTCCTGGTACGAAAAGAAAAGAAATCGGAGGCCGAATCATTGTATTCCATTGGAATCTTATAGCCTTTTAGTAAGAATCAGAGACCACATACAGTATAAATTCATTCATTGTCCTTTTTGTCAAGAAAACTTAACAAAAAGCCACTTACAATCCGTCTTGCCAAAGGATTGGGAATATAGCGGCATAACCGTCCATCAATATATGCAACCATTCCCGACAACACAAACTGACCAATTCCCCACTTCCACACAAGCCTCACTTTCTGTTTCGAAGCAGGGACCACAGCTTTCTCATCATCTCCTTTCAACTTTTTCTTCAACTTCACTTTTGAAATAGCGTTGCCAGCTTGCTTTCTCAGCACACGGATTGCAAAACTCACAAAGAGGTGTTCACACAAAGTCAGCATTGTTGGCCCAATTTTCCATTGCTGTAGGCAAAAGTACTGTATATTAGTTATATCCGGTGAGTTCTGGTTACCAGAATATATAGTTCCTCCACTGACTTAGTTGGCAGTTGTTGATTAGACTCCTGATTTTGGACATAATATGTATTTTCCTTTCAACAGTCAAGGCAGCTGAAAAGCATGTACAGGTAGGTTTTATGTCTACCCATTAGCCACTGACGTATGAAATCCAATAACACTACCAATTAAGCAAGTCAGCATCAAATTAACATGCCTTATAAAGAAAAAGAAGTAAATGGATCTAACATGTGATTTTCATATATCCGAATTTTCAAATGTGGTCATTCTTGGAAAACCACCTAAGGTTCAGGGATTAAACTTCTTATCGTGAAACGTGTAAAGGAAATGATGTCTAAAGGAAAGAAAGGTTGCACATTGCAAAAGAACACACTTACACTTTCTCCACGAATATGGCGTAAAGGACGAGAAGCTGTTGAAGAATCTCCTTTCAACAATGCCTTGCTTTCAAGGAAGCCCTTCACACGGTCCATGATCTCGTCTATTAGGGAACTGTTTGGGGGCAGGTTTTTGAGGAATACCTGTTGACATTGTAATATATAAAATCAGCATAGTTACACAATACGAAGTGACCGCGATGCCCAATGTTCACATTATTTGGTAACTACCCAGACATCAGATAAGAAACCAGTTTCTGCTCTCAGAATTAATACAAAAATTATCAGTACACAGACTCGTAATATCATTTTTCCTTTCCATAATTAAAACAGTGAGATAATATTATAGAAAATAAGAAGTCACCTGATTGTCAATGACCCTCACTCTCAGATATTCTTGTTTATATATTGTATCCAGCATAGCTTGCAGGTACCCTTCAATATATAACTGCATTATTTAAAATAAATGCTTAATGACTATGTAGACTCAACACTTGCACTATAGAAAATTATCACAATGACATACTGACATTACAATCTGCAAAAATAGAAATAAATAATACATAAACAAAAATATGAACACCATTGGATTACACATGTATAAGAATTTTATTCAAAATTTTATATTGATTAGGCTACCCTTTCATGATATTTTGCTGTTAAGCACCCAAAAGCTTTTCTATCAACTCACGAACAAATCAATTTTGTGCGTATGGCTACAGCCTTCTGAGAATATTTTAATCAGCAAATACAGCAAAGGATGAACTTATTGATTTACCCAAACAATCTTTGTTGTGTTCACCCTTTTTTTGATAAACTAAACTATGCAAAAAATAGAATAGACTGACACAAGACCATTACTGGAGATCCATTGTTTCTTTTCTTTCTCAAAGAAAAAAAAAAGGAGAGTACCTCATCAACCCCGGGACTTCGATCAAGCTTAATTTTTCGATCTGGGCCACCTTCCATAAAAGCAGTACCCAATAGTGATGGTTCCATAGCCAATTTCAATATTCCTTGGTGAAAACCACTGACCTGAAGGGAACCATGGACGTTCAAATTGTCAAGTTCAAAATTTTAAGTTAATTTAAAAGTTCGCATGCATTTAATCAAAGGAGAGATAGCAAAGTGAAGGGTAGAATACAAAGTGGAATCCACAGGAAGAGGAATTTTACCATTCCATTAAAACCACTTGTTTCTGCACCCTTAAGAACTGAATCTGATATTTCAGTAACTGCAGCAAATAGTATATTTGACCCAGCCGTCTTCACCTGCAGATCCAACATGCTAAATATGTTTTAGGCAACTGCAGTAGCAGTCCTAAAATTGGAGGAATACAGAACTTACAGTTTTTCCCAGATCACCAAAATAGCGTTTCGTCCCTGAAAATCCTTTACCGTCAATACATTTACTGATGAGTTTGAATGTACCTGTCCTTGACAGTTACAGCATCAACAAAGGATTACAATGTGAGCACCTTAACAATATGCATTTTAAGCATCACAGGAGAGAGTGACATCCAGGGAGTTTGGTATCTGACATAATACTTTAAATGCCAGTTAGTCATATGGATGATTATTTGAGATAATACTTTAAATGCTAGTTATTCATATGGATGATTATTTGACATAATACTTTAAGCAAGTACCATAACCACATGAAAGTTCAAGTTCCATTTTGTGACATGCATGATTTTTTTTCACATTGAACCATCACGTCAATAACAAAAAAGTCCATGACTAAAGAAGACAGAACTCGTATGATTCTTTATGCTGTTTCTAACTAACATCACAACAGAAACTTCAAAAAATTACCCACAAACACACACACACACACACACACACACACATATAGAGAGAGTAATACCTATGGTGAGACCTGGAAGATTGAGCAGGGCTCTGGAAGGATCAAAAAAGACATCAAGAGAGGATGAAGCCATGTCATCAAAAATGGAAGCAAAAGCTGGTGGAAGCAATGGGCTTCCTTTTGCAATATAGATGGCCCTCATGGCATACCTAGAAGCCCAAGTCATTTTAGACACAAACAAGTTTGTGATATCAAGAAAAACACATGAATGTTACGATATGCTTACCATGAATAATGTTGTGCGCATTTAAGAAACAATTCACGTATGGTTATCAGAGCATGAGTTACCAAAACCCCATTGAGCTCTACAGTCATATTTTTTATAGCAGGGATCTAAAGAAGAAGGAAAAAACAGAAAAAATATATGAAAAGAAAGAACGAACAAGTTAATGGCAAGACATGATGTACAAATGCCACATATATATATTTAAAACTCTAACCAATTTTAGATAATTTGGAAAATGCTTCCCATCAAACCTTTATCACGCTATGCAGCAAAGACCTCAATGTTTCCTGGGTGGAGCTATAGCTGGAATACGAGTCGCCTGGAAGAAAGCTTGCTATGATCTTCAGATACATTAGAAATAAATGTAAGTTAAATGACACGATGAAGGAGGAATTTAGTAAAGATATTTTAGACCTGTATATAAATAAAACATCAAACCTTTATTGGGTGTATCTCAAAATGATCAAAGTAATACTGTTGACTCTGAGTACTTGAATCACTGAGTGATGTTCTCCAAAATGGGACGGTTCTCATCAGTGTCTCCTCATCAATGTTCAAATTAAGCGGCTGTAGACATAACCAAGTTACACAGTCAATGCTGCAACAGTCAGTTCATAAATGCATGCATTACAGTTAGGAATTATAACGATCATGATAATGATGCAGCTTCTCACACGCTAACAATTCCAGATACATATAGGAAAAATGAAAAACTTTAGATGGATGTCTGGAGAATCTATAGTAACACTTCCCTTCTGTTACCTGCAAAATAATTGATGAATACTTGACTTGTTTGACATTGGAACTGGATGTAAGTAGGACGAGTACTACATGGAGTATATTATCATTTGTTTCACCATAGTCAGATTGATGCCTACGAAGCATTGCTGCAAAAGGAGCTCCTTCCCACTTTTCATCCACACTCAATGACTGCCTCATTTGAAGATAAAAAGTATGATCAGCGTGTAAAATTTTGGGTTTTGATGGGGTTGGGGTGGGAGGGGGAACTGTCTGAATTTTTTTTGGGATCTTCTATGCAGTGTTGTCAAAGGCAAGCCTAGGCTCCACGCTCATACAGGCACAACACTTGCGCCTGTTGTGTGCCTAGGTGCGCCTTTGACAACATTTGCGCCTTTATTATGGAATATGAATATGCTTTAATAGTAATTTAATTTTTCAATTGTGTGCCTTGCTTGCGCGCACCTCACGTTGCGCCTAGGCTACAAAGGACCTTTGACAACACTGCTTCTATGAGAAGCAAATTGAAGGCACATATATGAGAGAACAAGAAGCCAACAACTACAAGAATGCACCAGCACATGAAGAATAAAATTACCTGTACCCTGATCTGGTTGTAATTATGCATATCAGTAAACACAGAATCCAGATTGATATTCTCAAGCCTTGTATTTATGATTGGTGTGTAAACTGATGGCTCATTTGCATCTATCTCCTTCAATGAGTAACATATCAGATGAAGTGTTAGGTGATGATTTGTTCTAATAAAATATGCAACTATGCTATTTTAGCCAGCACAATAATAAAATGCAGTATAGAAAGCAAGGCGCATAGCTACTGTGGCCTCCAATATATAATTCAAACAAGCAGAGCTGTTAAATGCTACAAAAGGAACTGGAAGATAAATCCATCGAGGGATATTAATTATCTAGTTCAGAATTAAGTCATAATCTTTCAGCAGAGTTTTTGTGACTATCAATATGTGGATGTGTTCTTTAAAATCTAGCATACGATGCTCATGTTTTCTAAAATTTGTTTCAATATTACCTCTCAATGTAAAATGTCCACACCAAAGAAAATGAAAAAAATTGAAAACTCCAAAACTTTCGGGCACCATAAGTTGTGACGTTGATTATTTTTTTGCATCCTGTACCATCCAATTTTAGTTTAATAATATTATTCTTACTCATTACATGGGACTTTCTGTTCTTACGATTTATTTTTTTCTCATTTTCATAATCTTTTTCATTTATTTTGTCGAACATAAGACCTATACTGCAACTAAAAATGAAGAACTCAATATCCATGATGTAAAACAAAGCATATCATACCAAAAAGGGCTAGCTTATATACTTTCATGTCCTATTTTTTCTTTTCATTTTTTCTTAGTTGGTACTCACACACACATGCCTCCACTTAGGCTCGAACCCCTAACCTTCCTTTGGAAAGTAGGGGCCTGGTATTGCTAGGCCACTGGCCCGTTGGTCATGTCCTATTTTTTCATGTATATCTAAAATATTTATTGGAATCATTATAAAATTTTCTAAATTTGTTGAAACACAACTATTAACAATTTTTGTTAAATAGAATAATGACCAAGGTGGAGAAAATATTAACAGTAGTTTATTCCTGTGTTCATCAGCTTTCAATATTAAATTATTGGAAACAAATAGAAATGTTGGCTTGTAAAGACATTAATTATTTTCAATGCAACTTACATTTTTTATATGAATTTTCCTCTAATATATCACCTGTCTTGTTTGTAGAATAATATATTTATGGTCTTGAATTAAAACTCTCATCAATACAAAGATTTTATATGTACATCTTACCTTAAAATTTGACATATTTTACAGTAAAAAAAAAACTCTTTTATTTTATTTTATTTTTTTGGTTAAAGAAGACACATTAAACCCTGATTGCATGCTGGTAGGTTTACAGCTACGCAGGCCTGGAATGAGGCATGATCAAAAAGTTCAACGTAATATCAATTCTCAATTGGTTCTCAAATTAAATTCCAAAAATTATAGATGAAAAGAATAAGCCACAACTGAAGTGGAAGACCTGATAGCATGGCTTGGTCCTCATCAGATTTCACAATAAAGACCTGTACTGATTTATATTATTATTTATTCTTTAAAGAATATCTACGGTAACAGTTTTGTGGACAAGTTAACAAATTCTTAAAGATAATAAATTGTCCTTAAAAGGCATGAAATTTATAATGTTTTCTATTTTAGAGTCCATCCACACTTTTTTCCAAGCCAAGCAGGGATCACTTACAGACTTGGTTCTTAATAAAACAAGCCTCAATTAGAGCTTCAGTTTGGCTCATTTGCTGCCCTAATTGAAAAGGTCAGGAATGGAAAGTACTCATGCATCGAGCTTTATTAATTGATAAGAGCAACTGCAGGTTTACATTAAGAAAGTGAATAACCAATGATATAAATGACAGCACTGAGCAGGCAAAGGCAATAGACACATTGTTGCAACCAATTTCAGTAGAAGTCTGATGAATGGTCAAAATTTTAAAAGAAAGATTAAAATACCTTGAACTCCTATGAGGCTTGGACTAATAACAAGCACAGATTGAACTTTTACTGTAACAACTCTGACACCCCTTAAGAGTTAAAAACCCCAAGGCTCTATGACGTCACATGACTATTTACAATTTTACCCTCATTATTATACTAGTATTGAAGTGAAGATATAATAAAATAATATTAAAATCAATAAGAATCAAATGAAAAATATACCCCCCCTCAAGGAAACAGCATCTTTGCATCCGGAGGTAAGACTGCGTACATATGCTCTCCCTGGACTCCACAATACCACAACAACGGGAGTCTCATGCATTGGGCTACCCCTTTTACCCCCTCTCTAGTTCTTTTATTTATGTTCCGTGACCTTAGTTTCTCTCTCTAAAATCTCCTCCATTTCCATCCACCATCACCACCTCACCCCTCAAATGCTACCATCAAAGTAGAGCATCAATTCCATTTAATTCCCTTATGTTCTCTCTCTCCCTCTACACCACCACCACCCCTCTACTCTCTCACTTCTCTCCACCACACTACTTTTGCTGCTACTGCCCCCGTTCCTTGCACACACTACTCTTCTCACTACCATTCTACCACAACCACCGCCATTGCCGTTGCTGCCACCACCCCAACTCCTTTGGAACTACTCTCTATCTCTCTCTAAACCCCTGCCACCACTTTCCACCACTACCATCGGCCTCGCTATGCAACACCAAATCAAATCCCCATCGCACCACCACCACCACCAGCACCACCACCACTCCTCGTCTCATGGCATTCCACAAATTCTTGCCACCGCTTGCCCCACACCACTTTCAGGTTCACATATTGGTCTCAAACAATTAATTTAAAAAAAGAACGAAAGGGAAACCAATTTCACACATCTGCAGAGTAATTTTGAACCAAAATTATTCATATATATGCCTTCTGTATAATATTTGTAACCATTATGAACCAAAACTCATTTTATGTGTGTATATATACATCTACATATATGACAGACATATGTGCATACATACTAATACTATAGTACATGATGTAAATTTCAAAGGGATCTGTGAAAATTAAGATGGACTTGAGGATGCTACAGAATATTTGCTGGAGGTAGGGGGAATCACAGGCTGAGAGATGGGAGAGGGTGGTGGTGGGCGGTAGAGAAAAAAAAAAATTTAGGAGTATGGAAAGACGGAGAAGTTTGGGTGGTGATGGATTCAAATGATGCTAATATATATATTATTATGCAAGTTGATTCTACAATAATTTGTTTTGATCTCTTTTGCAATATTTTTTGTTTCATTAGTTCTAAACAGAGAAAGTAGAAAGAATATGGGAAGAAGTAGGAAGAAGAAGAGGATAGGTGAGTATGGGTATAATGGTCTTTCTAGAATGATTAGCTGGGCTAATTGTGTCATTTTCTTTAATGAAGGGCAATTTCGTCTGGGATAGACCGAAGGGTGACCAAAGGTGGAGCTGCAGGGAGAGTAGCTCCTCATACCACTTTCGAGGGGCTCAGCTCAAGGGAGTAACCAGAAAACTGTGTTGAATACGCTGGGTTGTAGGACCATACTTCCTAATGCAGAAAGTAGGAAACGGACGTCACATTACTTAAGCAAATACTCTTGGGATGAGAGATAAGGGGAGGAAGTCTTGGATCCAAGATTTGTTTGAAGGGACGAGAAGGCAGCAGGGGACCAGTGACTGGTGCTGGAGCTCTTAGATCCGCCTTTCTTTATTCACCACTGCATTGATGCAAAAATCTTTAATGGGCAAAATGGTAAGAAAGCAGAATAGGGGAATCAGTATTTGACCAACACCTTGGGGGAATTTGACCAAAAAAATTTCAAAAGTTCAATCTGATGGTGATAAGCTCAAACCTCAGGGTAAGCCAAGTAATTTATCCCCAAAAAACTAATAATAATAATAATAATAATTGTGAGGTCTACATAGATACTCCAAAACATAACGAATAGATACACCAGACCAGAAGAACAAAAGCATTCAAAAAAATAGTTGTGACATTCAAAATACTTTTGTATGGGTTGGAGAAAGAATAATCTCATAGTGACAAAAGCATTGATGAGTTAGACTGACCTGCTTAGCATGTTGAAGTAACTGGATTGCAAAATATGAGATTCTAAGTTGTATTTTTCCACTGGAGTGTATCACTGTATCCGCTTTGTGACTACCAGAAAACTCACAAATCCGCAACACTCGTGTGGGACCATCTGCATATACTTCATATCCCACATTAACCATCTCAATGCCATTTGATTCACCAAAATTTGTTCTTTTCAGGTCTCCTTTTTTTTTACCCAAAGGTATGTGAAACCCCAACCCTGTGTGTAGCCCGACTCTATAAAACGGTTTCCACGCCCGCAGCTTATCTAGGTTGATTTCACGTAACAGATGCACATCTACAATAGGAAAACTAGACAAAGGTGACAAAATATACTTTTGAATTACCATATAAATAAGTTCACTGAATCATCAGCTGATTATTAGCATTAAAGGCATAACAAACAATGCAGTAAAAAACACAGATCCATCAGATGCAAAACAAGGCATTATCGTTCATAAATCATTCTCTACCATATACAGATATTCATCAGTTAGCCATGATATGTCCATTTCAATAACGTGCATAAAAGGACTAAGTATGTGAATCAAGTCTAAACAAGATGATGCCACAATTCCAAATAAACTAAAGTACAACTCTTGAGAGATAACATGAGTGAATAAAATGAAATGGAAAGCTACCTCCATTTTAAACATATGCGCACACACCTAATATAAAACATTAGACATGTAGTGCAGTACTCTCTTGTATCCCGGAATATCTATTTGACAGTTAAAACTGATATTGTGGCCCGAATTTGGTGCCGGGTTGTGTTGCGACCCGCTTATAACCCGACAACCCGTTGGATCCCCCGAGGAAAATTTTGACCCGTTTTTTGCTCATGGGTTGTGGACCCTAATTAATCTCTTGTAGCCCAATATATAAGGGCGCTTAAGGTTTGGAGAGGTAAAAGAGAGAGACTATGAAATGTGTATAGAACGAGGGGTTGAAAATTTGTAATCTCCGATTTGACACATAGTGAAAACTTTCGCCGGATCCCAACTGTGGACGTAGGCTATTGCCGAACCACGCATAAATATTTATACTCTTTGTGCGGCGTGTTTACTTTTCTGTCTTGATTCTTGATTCTTGGGTTTGTTGCGTTTGTTATAACAAAGACAAAATTACATAAAGGGCAAACCAGTCTCAAATGCACTTGTAGTCTTGGTGCAGTAAATTGCAATTATTTAACTGATTAAATCCAAATAAGAAGAATAGAATGTGCAAAGAATGAAAAAGATATATCAAATCAGGAACCTTTTTAAGTAGTAAATAACTACTCCATGTAACTGCAACTCCTTTTTAAAACCCAACCGTTTGAACTTTTATCCCACTGTTCCACCTGAGATCTCCCACGGGTATCCGGTTCCCATTCTGCCATGTCTGTCCGATCAGCACACTCCAACACAAACCTCTAAGGGGGGGGGGGGGGGGGGGGGGGTAAAGGGGGCCCCGGCCCACCTCTTCAACTATAGAGCTGGTTTTTAGACAATACCACTTGTTTTTGATATTTTTTATTTTTTATTTTTTTCAATCTAGGGCAGGATGACAAGTTTGAGCAACCATCACTTCTTAACAGGTTTACATCATTAACTATTATGCTGGGGGTTGCTAATTTGCAGAATTGAGTAGTGCATAAAATTCCATATTACTTGACAAGTATCAATATTCCTAGAAACATGGCAGCAGTTTATTTTTTTCTTTTCTCGATTTCTAAAATTGCTTATAGAAACATACCTTCCAAAAGCTAATAATTAAGATCACATGTACATAACTCGGGGTGCTTGGGAGGGGTTGATTGGATTCAAACTAAACTTCGGCACCAATTGCCGAAGTGGTTGTCCTCAAACTCAATTCTAATATAACTCACAGATATAACTCCATCGAAAGATATTACCATGACATACGAGAAAATGAAATTCTACAGGTTTTGATATTTATTTATCATTTAGCAGGAAAAAATTGGCATTATAAAACATAGGACAACAAGATGTCACTGAAGTATGTGAAAACCGTAAGTCATAGTAAACACTGTTTTTTTTTTTTTTTTTTCTTTCCTAGTTGGTACTCACACACGTCTCTTCTGAGACTTGAACTCCTGACCTCCCTTTGACGGGTAAGAGGCTAATACCGTTAGGCCACTGGCCCGTTGGTATAGTAAACACTGTTGAAATGTTACCTTGAGTTATAACGCCTTGAGATTAAGATCAACTTTACTTTGTTGGGTACTATCAACATAACTCCAATATTTTCCTAGTCCATTAACAAATCCAAAGAGATTCTTCAATTTAGAAACAAACAATACCATGTCTTTGAAATACCTAATATTGGATTCCCTCCAGATGCATTAGAACAAACCTAGAGGGGCCGTATTCTATATAGGAAACACTCCAACCTGGCCGACAAATTAGCATGTCCCTCATTGTCACTGAACCCCCAAAATAGTAGAAAACCATGCCGCATAAAACCAACTGCAAAGCAGTACATAAACTGTCTCTTCCCATTTCTCATAGATGTTATAACAATTAGGCCAAAAACTTCCCTCTTAATCAAATTATGAATCGGGATTTTCTCCCCCAAACCCATCCAAGCAAATTATAAAAATTATTTTTAACAATATCTTGCATCTCCATATACTTTTCCAGGGAGAAAAAGGACTGAATCATACTACGAAGGCTCTTAAGTTGGAGATTTTAAATTCCCTTCCGATAGATACTGTAGAGTTTTAAAATTTCCTCATTGTTGGAAGCCACAAAAGTATCACAAGCACATTATTTTGGGAGATAACACCAACAGCTAAGTTTTATACTTTACCTGCAGTACTAGCTCTCAAAATCCCTCATCCTACTGTCTAAAGAATCAACATATAATTTATGATGTTGTGGCGTGAATTTTGTTTCGGCTTAGGGCACGTTGTGACTCGATGAATGGGATTTTGACCTGTTTTCCTCTTGCGGGTCGTGGTCCTATATAGTACTCTCTTGTATCTCGATATATAAGGGCATTTAGAGTTTGGAGTTGTGACGACCCTCGATTTTAGGGGGGGTTTCTTCTTCGTGTTTTTCTAAAAAAACTCGTCTTGACCTCCGTTTCAAGCCTCAGTTCTGGGCAGATAAAAAAAAATGTAGCAGCAGCCAAGGGCTGCCACCATGCCATGTCTTTGGGCGCCGGCATGCACGCCGGTGGGCTCGCGCATGGGCGCTGTGTGCGCCATGGCCCCTCGTTGGGCCGCCGCGACATCAATTCTTCTTTTGGGCTTTTCTCCTTCGCCCGGACTCCAATTCAAGTGAATTTTTTTTTTAACTTGACTAATTTTTCGCTGTCTTTCCAACGGGGTGCTCGGTTGCACCCAGTTCTTCCTGGATAATTACCAGTTTACCCTTTTTGCCTTAAGTGCTCGTTTTTCTTCGTCATGCCGTTTCTCCTTCGTCCGGACTCCGAATCATGCGATTCTTGAGTCCATCTTGATTAGTTTTTCGTTGTCCTTCTAGCGGTGTGCTTGGTGGCACCCGAATCTACAGTTTTCAGAAATGACTATTTTGCCCCTGGGGGCTTATTTGTCATATTTTCGATCTTTTGTTTCCGCATCAGTTCTTGTTGAGTTCCACGACCTCATGGAAGGTCACTTTGACTTCTTAGAGTCTTGTTTTCTGTTTTCGTTTCCGCATTTGGATCCGTTATCGGATCATCCTTACGGTTCATCACAGGACACGCTGGCCTAAAAACCAGGGTCGTCACAGGAGTGGAATAATGAGAGAACACTGAAAATTGCAGGAAAGAGAGAGAGAGAGAGAGAACTAGGGTTTTGGCCCTGGGGGTTGCAATTTGTGAACTTTTATTTTTTGCATAATGAAATCTTTCACTGGATCTTTACCGTGGACGTAGACTTTGCCGAACCACGTAAATCATTGTGTGTGGCGTGTTTACTTTTTTGCCGTGATTCTTGGTTTGCTCTTGGTTCGTTGTATTTGTAATGTAACCTCACCAAGATGCATTTTGGTGTTCATGGGTCTTTACTATCCTACTGTAACGGGTGGGCGCTTGCCCATTTACCCAAAAGCTCAAGCTGTTGGGTAATACTGCATACCCACCCATTTATATCCAATCACTTTCCCATCCAGACCCAACGTGGGACAAATGACCCTTGTTACATTTCCCCCCACCCAAACTCACAACACCCTCGTTGCAGTCGGGCCACCCAGCCTACTTAGGGTGGCTCACCCGGACGCCTTATGGGCCGGGAGCTTGGCATGACACCGAATCAAGGATTGGGTCTAGCTCTGATACCAACTGTAACAGGTGGACGCTTGCCCATTTACCCAAAAGCTCAAACTGTTGGGTAGTACTGTATACCCACCCATTTATACCCAATCACCTTCCCATCTAAATCCGATGTGGGACAAATGACCCCTGTTACACCTACCATACTGAACAATCCACATATTCCTCTCTCCCAAACTAATACCGCAATGTGAGTGTCGAGTGTGTGTGTAGAATGCAGACGATGTTGGACTATGTCCTGCCTAAGGTTTGATTTTTTAATGTCAAATCAACATAAATTCAATTTTGACCGAATTAAACCAGTGCTGAAAATTTAAATTCAGATGTACTACTTTAACGGCCTTCAAAGGGCATAATTGTCATTTTGCAGCATGTTAGGAGAATAATCACCAGCTGGAATTCTTATAGAAGTCATTTTGTCTTCATTCTAAAAGTCCAGTTTGCCCTTACAGACTGCTTTAATTTCAAATTTAGATAGGCAGCCAACTATAAGGGGCAAATCTGTCATTTACGCTCTTAACAGCCACTTTATTTCTAACAGCTCATTGTATTGAATTGTACCTGTTACGACAAACAAAGCGAACCACCAAAAAAAACCAAGAATCATAACAGAATATAAACACGAAACACAAAGAACACAAAGATTTAGCGTGGTTCGGTAAAGCCTATGTCCACAGTGAACATCCGGCGAAAGAATTCAGTATGCGAATATCTGGAGATTAGAAGTTTCAATCCCCAAACCCTAGCTCTCACTCTCAATCTCTTTTCTATGATGTTTACTGTCTCTCAATGTCCCACTCCAAACCCTAAAGGCATTAAATATCGGGCTACAAGAGAGTACTAAATAGGATTCACGACCCGCAAGCAAAAATGGGTCAAAAATTTTCCTCGAGGGACGCCCCAGAACTTTGGTGGGCTCAGGCCTACACAAAGCTCAATCAACGGGTCGTCAAGTCACAACACGACTAGGAACCAAATTTAGGCCACAACATCACAGTACCACATAGGACACCTAGCATATTCTCTCCAACAATTATTGATGCAGCAGCGGGTAGGGGCGATTCGAGAAGAAAATTCAAGTAAATAAGAAAGAGGTTAAGATAGAAATTGAGAGAGAAATAGATAATAATAGGGGAAGAAATCAGAATGAGGGAGAAGAGAAGAATAACAGAGGGATAAATCAGAATTGAGGGAGAAGAGAAGAATAACAGAGGGAGAAATCAGAATTAAGGGAGAAGAAACCACAATAATTTCTGAACAATAATCAATAATCAATATCAAAAGCTGACCTTCACATTGTCTAAACCAGCTTATAAATAGGCATCAAATAAAACCCCTAATCAACCTATTACCATAAATAAAACCCTAAATTGCTGAAATATCCCATAATAATAATAAATAAACAAAAATCCCTAATTTCATCTTTCTTTCCCACGTCTCCAATAGTGGGTGTGGGCCATGTGGTCTTTAAGCTCTCTGGCTAGGCCCGATTCTTCATCAATTATAATCTCCTGAGAGAACATCTTGTCTATATATCAGTCATAAGCAATGAGCTATGTATGTACGCCAATTCTACTGGGGTGAGTAAAATCCAAGAGAGAAAAGGCTGAGGTATAGAAATCTGAGAGTGAGCTAAAGCTTCTTTTGAAATTATGCTAAGATTAATTCCATTCGTATGAGCAAAATCCATTCTATCCGCACTTTCTGGTTCAAGCAGCTATACTGATCAGTTTATGCAAACAGCAACCTACTAATACATTCATTCCAGCAACTTTGAAGCTTCACTGGTGTGTTCTTGAGCTGAAAGCAAGTTTCATTTGCTACACACTATCCAGAAAAAGCTGAATGAAGCACTTATTGAGCCTATTGCACCAACTTGATTCTTGAAATTCAACTGCTGCCTTCAGCAGAACCAAGAAGCTGCTCCATTGTTTCAAATTCTGTATCCACTAGGCATAATTCCTATTCTTGTGTATTTTGTGCTCTGAATCCTATTTCATTTTTCTGAGTTGAGTGTTTGTGTTGTATTGGTGAAAAGGGTGTAGTGAACAGGGGGAGTTTACAAAACAATGAGGTGAGTGAAGAGTGTGAGACACTGCTGACGGTGTGCTTTGTCCTGATTTTTTAACATAGTGGGTTGTTGATCAGGCTTAAGAGCCTCATGGATGCTTCCCCAATTTCTTTGGGGTTTTACCATGTATATCCTGGTGTCTGATCTTTGTGTGTGTGGTGTAAAACAGTTTGCTGTTTATTTTGTTTGCCAAGTGTTTGAGAAATTGAAAAACAGTTAGAAAACAAGAACCAATTCACCCTTCCCTTCCTGGTTCTTCAGACGGATCATATCATGTCATGTGCAAGCCCACATTCAAAGGACTTGTAGCCCCCATTATCATCCCAAATGTAAAAAACTTATCCCAATTCTTTAACTATGACAAGTACAGTACAGGCTACAGTTTCACTATCGTGGGTTAGATGTCAAAATGACAACATCAAGATAAACAAATAGGTGCCATGCATGCATCAGCACAGAAAGATGATTGATAGGAGGCCACCCATCCCGAAAAAGCGGGTCATAAATGTATCCTCATTTCATTCAACAAAGACAAACAGAAAACACTTATTCTTTGTGCAAGAATGCACGCCATTAGCTGAAACATTGACATAGTGAGTATATAGAATTTCAGAAACACATTCCCCATAGCATGTATTCAGACTTAAACATATGAAGGAGATTAAATTACTAAATATTATGTGAAGTGTAGATGAAGTATAAAGAGAGTAGTAACTACCATTAATTCGGACAACCAGCCTATGAGGAAGAGTCAAGTCATCCCAAACATAATTAACACTGCTTCCAGTTCCAAGAATCTCTGGCTCCAATGAACCCTGGAAATTCTCCAATTATAATTTAGAAGTATAAATATATGTAAATAATTATATTTACATATATATATATATATGTAATTGAGAAAATGTTGACTAACAACACAACCTTTTGATAGTAAGTGATGGATGTCTCATGCAAGCAATTCTCAATCCGATAAGGCAGATTGATGTTTGGTGGCCTATGGAAGTGCAAACCAAGAGTAGAACCTCCTTCCACCACATCCAAAGCGGCAAATTCCGGTAAAATACTGCCGCGTGAAATTACTTGATTTGAATGTTGTTTGGTAGAATCCAAGGATCTTCTGAATTTCAGAAAAAAACGTCCCATTGAGGCAATACATACTGGCCCTGACCAACCCAATTCATCCTCGTTTGGGCGGAACTGAATAAATACTAATGAATCATCATGAGAATTTCTGTGTTTTCTGAGAAGGTTCTCGAAAACACTCACTTCTCTCTTCATGCTTGTTACACTCCGCAACTGTAACGCTATTTTCTGTTTACTGTTAATAGGAACTATCCCTTCCATGCCATCCTTTCCGAAGATAAATGAAAAGAATACAATTTAGCGCATAAACTACACACATTAAGAAAAAGGAGGCCCCTCCAGAATTGTTAAAATAATAATAAAATAAAATAATTATAAAAAAAGCGCTAACCTCCAAATAACACTGACGAACAAGGACAATTTCCTCAGATTCATTGAATACAACATATCGCGGGACAATAGAAATTATATGTGATGGAACATTTATTTTACTCATAATTGGCCCTAAAGACAACCCCAACTTTGCAATATGTTTGAATCCAGATCTTTCCTCTACTTCCAGGCCTATCTCTGTAGGACCTGATAGAGCGTCCAAGTCCAATAACATCTCAGATGCTTTCTCTTCCAACAATTTTAAGTGCACCTTGTTGTATCTGGCAACAAAACATGAATGAGACACCCATTACTAGATAGAAACACCTACGGCTCATCAAGCATTTGTCTGGCACTACAGGGAGGGGAATTTGTAATTATCAGTGAAAATAAATGCATTACTTCATGAACCACGATCTAGTGGATTTTGGAGGCAAAAAAGATCCAATCTCTGGAGGAATATTGAAACTAAGCTTTTCAGCATCATCCCTGCATGAATATATTTAAGGTGATAATTATAACAAATGCATGTAATGAACCGCACAAAAATATTGATTGAATACAGTAAAATACAGTGCATACCTAGATAGAGGCTTCTGATTGGGTGCAAAGCAAAACAAAGAAAAATCGGTGTCATTTTTCAGTGTGTATGACGTAAAGATAGCCACCTGCAAAAAGATATACAATTTAGCTTTCCAACAGGATTCTAAGCAGGCACAATTAGCCAAGTTGAAATATTCAGTAGACAAGTGCAAAAAACTAGTACAATAGCTTTGCAAATGACTAAAAATCTAATTTGTAACATATAATTGCATGATTAGAAATTTATAAGGTACCACCATGAATCATCAAATGGATTCAAAATTACCTCCAGTATGCCCCTATACCCACGAAACAATCTTAAGGAAGCAAAATATTTCCCACCACCAAATTCCAAATCAATGTCCAATTGTTGCACGTTATTTTTCTGCTTCTGTAACTTCTTAACCCAGTCACCACTATTCACTGGCTTACAACTTGAATTATATGCAGTCAAAGTAACAATAAAGTATATTGTGGCTGGGTTAGCATATAAATCAACAGTTGATCCACAAGGAATAGTTGCCTGGTTTCCAATGTCGTCACAGCTAACAGCTGCACACGGATCTGCACCAAGATGAAAAATTAGTAATGAAAACATTTGTACAGATTAAAAGACAAGACCTCTTCTGCTATTACCCCTATCGGTCAAAAGCACATGTATCTCTGACTGCAATAAGTTAGAAACCCTGACAGTGGGAAGAAGGAAAATTTCCTTCTGCTCTCGTAATGCGACTGGCAAATTCCTATTTCCAGGGGTATATCCATTGTTCTGAGGTTTTACAACAGGTATATCCCTTCCAATGCTCTGAATCAGGAAATGAACATCAGCAACATGCCCATCTTGAGATTTGAGCGAACAATGTGCAGTACTGAAGGAACATCTCACTGGTTCAACAGATAAAGCCTTCCGAACTTTGTAACTTAATTTATCGAATAATCCAGAAAGATGAACAGCTTTCCCGCCCTTAAGCTCTTCTGACCACTCCACTGAAAGTGATTTCTTAAAATTTCTTAAGCCATCTATAATTTCAGGTCTAAACGAAAATAAGAAGTTACCTGCAATTAAATTACCAATCACATGAGTTCTTATAACAATCCAGCACTAACACAAGACAAAGATGATGAGCACATTTCCTTACTTCTGTTCCTGAAGCAGGGACTAAATATTAAACAGTCAAAAGTAAAATATGAGAAGATAAAAATAGCAATAGATAATGGAAGTTCTAAAATCAAATCTTAGGGAACATAATGGCTGCAAGAGTAATTTAATGTCTGTTGCATGTAAGAACTACTTCGAATGATGAGAAATTTAAATTCATAGAAAAAATATAAATTTTCTGTTTTACTACTTAATATTGTTAAAGAGGGTAAACTACAATGACCTCCCCTGAGGTTTGCATTTTTTTTGCAGTGTGTCCCCCTGAGGTTTGCCTCATTTTGCAAAGACTCCCCTCCGTACAAAAACACTACTTTTTGTCAGAAAAATTGATTGAAGAGACCAAAATGCCCATCAACCAAGTATAAAGACCCTATTACCCTTATAATTTCATGAAATAACAAAAAAAAAAAAAAAAAATCATGTTTTAATGGACTAAAATACCATTCTCTCCCTCTCCCTCCCCCTCTCTTTGTTCACCCACCCATCACTGCCACCATTCCCCTCAATATGTAAATACAGTATATGTTTGCAAATGGGTCAGTTCCCATTTCTTCATTTAATCTCCATCTGTAAATATATTTTTGCCGATGGGTTTGTTCCATGATTTCCATTTTTTTTGTTTAATATCCATTCTTATATATATGTATCTAATCTATATATCTGTGTATATATACACACACACATATATATATTTGCAAATGGGTCTATTAGTTTTTTTATTTTATTTATCAAGTCTATCAGTTTTCCTAGTTGCCTGTGTTTGTAATGATCCATGTAGTGAATAAATAAAATAAGTAATTTTGGGAAATTTGCCTCTGTTTATAATTATCCATTGCTTTTGGTTGTATTAATGGCCTGTATACATTACATGACTCACAAAATATTAAAGGGCCACCATCACTCAACCGACCCAAGGCAAGCCGACGTAGCCAATGACACCAAAAAAAAAAAAAGACTAGTCTGCCGTGAAACCCTCATTGACGCATTCTCAGCACTTCACCCAACCACCGCCGAATTGGACGATCAGAATCTCTTCCCATGTCTCTACATGAACGATACCAAAATCCCTTTATTGATATTGATCTTATTGTGAATAAATCAACAGTCGTGGGATGGGATCCAGATTGCACTCCAGCGAAAGGAATCACCGATGAGAGGAGAAAATAGACGATTGACAGGACCTGTTATTTTTCTGCTGGGTCTTCCTCTTGCAATCTAGGATTTCCTTGGATCTCTCAATGAGGTATCTTTGAAACCCCCAATCCCGAACTCTATCTCGCAAAGGGTGTGTGTATATGCAAAACAATGAGGTCTGAGTCTCGCTCCCGATAAAATCGTTGTGGTTTGATTGGGTTTGTTGGAGGTGCGATTGGGTTCATCGTGGGTTTGGGTTTTTGTAGAATGAGGTTTTTGTAGCATGAATTTCTCTCTCCTTCGATTTATATTATAATACTTATATTAGTTTATATAAGTGGGTTTCTCTCTCCGCCTATCATTGTTGATTTGGATTTATTTTTGTTTGTACTATTGTGATAATTTTAAGTACATTAGAAATTTAAAATCTTAACTCAGAATAAAGAATATAAGAAAACATCGTGAATTCCATTGATGACCTCATATCCAAAACTTAACCAACAGAAGCAGTCTAGTGCCTTCATTTCATTTAGTATAGATAACAAAGACCCCAATTTACAGAGCATTAATTATAGTCCAGAAGGAGACAAATAGATACACACACACACACACACATATATATATGCAAGTGTGTGTATATATATATATGGTTTTAGGTGTGGCGGTGAAAGAGAGGAGGTGCCGTGGATTGTTGGTGGAGGGGAGAGAGAAGAAGAGGAAAAAATAATAATTTTTTTAAGGTGGGCAAACTTGTAATTTAATAGAGTCAGATATTTTAGTTATTTTTAATAATATAATAACGAGGGTAGATAAGTAAATTCACTACAAAATCTGACATAGGGGGTCTTCGTAAAAAAATGGCAAACCTTCGGTTTACTTGCAATTAGACCAAACCTCAGGTCCTCAAGGGAGGTCATTATAGTTTACCCTATAAAATATGTTTTACCACTTAGTACTACAAAATATGTTTTAAAAGCACGGTTAACAATTAAGTGAGAAAATTTTAAATTATTCAACATGGAAATTCCTAAAAAATAATTAAGAAAGGCTAAAAGGTAGAAAAAGTTAATGATTAAAGGGTCAACTATATAATTTACTAACTTACCAAAAAAAAAAACTATATAATTTATTACAAAATAACAACATTAAGGACTTTAATAACAAGAATGACAACGGCAACAACAATAAGAAAAGCATGGGCAGAAATATGAGCCCCAATCTAATAAATAATGAAATTTTCAAGAGAATTCTTTCATTAAATGCACTATTCAAAGTAACTTAACTATTTCGATTATCACAATAAAATATCTCTTCTATAATAAACACAATTTTCATAAAAAAAAAAAAAAGAAAGATAATCATTGCCCTTACATGCTAAAGTATTTTGAAGATTCAAATGTTGAAAGATATGCAACTTTAAGGTCTGAAAATCATAATGGGACCACCTATGTTTACAATGGGTCTTCCTTTTAAGCCACACTTTTGAAAGCATGATTTTTTTATAGACATGTATGGCCAATTCCAAGTCTCACAAGTGGACCAAACCAAAAGGCCAGGCTTAAATTCTTTGCCATGTAGTCAAACATACGATCCAAAACTTTATTCAATATTAAATGAAGTTGGCCAAGTTTGCCTCTTGAATTTCGTCATTTCAATTAAAACATTAAAAATAAAACCCACTAAGAGGCCCAGGGAAAAGATTTAAATGTATCAGCAATCATGCCATGAATCTACAAGCAGCCTTTTCTTGTCTTCATATAGGATGTTGTAGTAATTATTGTGGTACTAAATTAATGAGTCATATTATGAAACTTTGGAAGAGAGTGATTAAACAACGACTAAGACAGGAAATAGAAGATAAAGTCAATGATAGACAGATAGAGGCCATTTACTTATTGAGGACGAAGATATAGAGAGAGAAGAAAGAAGATCTTCATATGGCTTATATTGATTTAGAAAAAGCCAACGATATGGTACTTAGAAATCTAATATGGAGGTTTTAAGAAAGAAAGTTTAACAATAGAAGACATGCATGGTGGATGTGTAACTATATAGTTGGAACAACTGTGGAAAAAACGAGTGAATTTCAATAACTGTAGGATTACATCAAGGGTCAACATTAAGCCCATATATTTTTTTCGTGGTTATGGATGAGCTGACTAGACACATTTAGGATGAAATTCCAGGATATATGTTTATGTGCTGACGATATTATTTTAATTGATGAAACTAGAAAAGGAAATTAGAGGTTTGGTGGAGGAAGCTCTAGAATTCAAAGAGTTTAAGATAAGTAGGAATAAAACTGAATATATTGAGAAATACAAACAGGAATATAGTGAAGATTGAGGATCAATAGGTACAAAGAAGTTAATATTTCTGTCATTTAGGTTTTATTATTCATAATGAAGGAGAAATTGAAGATGATGCTAATCATAAAATTTAAGGCTAGATGGGTTAAATGGAGGAGTGCGTCAAGAATATTTTGTGATCGATGTATCCTGCTAATTTGAAAGGGAAGTTCTATAAAACAATTATTAGACTAGCTGTTCTTTATAGGATAAAATATTAAGCAACTGAGAACAACATATGAGAGTGGCAAAACATGCAACTGTTGGGATGGATGTGCCACAAGACAACAAATTATAGAATTAGAAATGAATAACACCAATAGGAGATAAAATGAGAGGAAATTGATTAAGATGGTTTGAACATGTGCAAAGAAGCAATTAGGAAGAATGACATGGTCCACATTAATGATATAGAAAGGGGAAGACCAAAAGTGACATGGATGGAATTAATAAAGAAAGATATGATAACAAGCGGTTTTACTAAGGCTATCACCTTAGAAGAGCGGAATGGAGAGTTAGGATTCAAGTAGCCAATCCCAAGTGGTTGGCAAAATGCTTTGCTGAGTTGAGTGTCGTAAGTGTTGCAAAGCATAAAACGGAAGTGAAGAGATAAATAAAACAAGTAGAACACACAAATATTACATGGTTCAGCCATTAAGGCCTACGTCCACAGCACGAAGAGCCCAAAGGGCTTCATCACTTTTATAATGCTTTCTCAACTCATACACAATACAATGGTGGAAGTTCTTTATATAGGAGAATAAATTATGAGAATGGAAATAATTAGAAAATAGGAAATAAGGAGGATTTTTCTCTACTGATTCCTCTCGTAACACCAAATCTTCAATAATAGGAAACAACATCAAATACTGAAAGATTTTTCTCCACTAATTCCTCCATTAAATCTTTGATACTCCTCCTCAAGTTGGAGCATGAATGCTCAACTTCCCATTGAGATGACGAGTGAAAACAAGTGTTAATGATGAAGAGAGAAGACGAAGAACAATGCTACCGAACACACCGACAGCCCAAACAAGTCAACAAAACAATGCCAGAGACACGACAAAGGTGAGGACAATGCTACCAAACACACCGGCAGCCCAAACAAATCGATAAAAACTGCCGGAGACACGGCAAAGACGAAGACAATACTACCGAACACACCGGCAGCCCAAACGAGTCAATCAAAATTGCCGGAGACACGGCAAAGGCGAAGAACATTACTGTCGAACAAAACGGCAGCCCCAACAAGTCACAAATAGTACCGAGAAACCCTTAGCAACATTTCAGATGCTAAGGGAATATCCCAAAATAGGGGTCCGAACCTAGGAAGAGAAATTAGGCTCTGATACCATGTTGTAGAGGAATCAGTGGAGAAAAATCCTCCTTATTTCCTATTTTCTAATTATTTCTAT